TTGCATTTAAGCATTTGCCACCCACCTGGTGTGGCACGTGCACTCTGGGCGTAGTGATCCCAGACATGACACTTCACCCTAACACATCGCTTCAAGGGTGGCACCAAAACCGCCCACATAGGTTCCGACGAGGAGCAGGCCTCAACCCTCTTGTTGAGCGACCTACCTCATTCCATTCATTTGCCCGATAGTTCATACCTTAGCTAAGTGTTTCTAAACTCGAAAAGGCTCTTGTAAACCTTTCAGCCTCACTGGAAGTATTAGCTAATAACACTGCAGATGCCTTAACCCAACCGCAAACTGAAGTAACTCAAATTTCTCATATTACATTGCAAAATCGCCTAGCTTTAGACCTACTTTTTGCTAATCAAGGAAGGGTATGTACTTTAGTCAATGATACCTGCTGCACCTATGTAGATGAATCAAGAAAAGTATTAGAAGATCTTCATAAAATCCAGAACATGGCTAGTCAATTCCACGCCATAACCACATATAACACCTCTTGGAGTATACAAGATGCATGGGCTCTCCTAACATCCTGGTTCCCTGGATTACAATGAGCTCACAAACTCATTGTTATTATTGTTGCTCTTGGATATTTTTCGATTTTAACCTGTTATTGTATTCAATGTATTGGAACCCTACCTTCTGTATTATCCACATATTGTAGATGTAGTATGCATAACATAGAAGAATGTGTTGAAATGTCTAAAGCTGAAATATTAGAGTACCAGAAGTGTTTAGATGCCAAATATAGTAGAAAGTGATCCCAGCCTTTGAAGGCCAGGATCAAAGGGGGGAATTGTAGAAATTTATTAACAAGATCATAAATAATAGCGTAGCTTCTACAGCAGACTCAGCCTCCAAGGACAGGCTGATAAGACTCTGCAATGACTGAATCCTATTCACTTTGAAGTCTGAAGTAAGTTTCCTCCCTATTAGTTACCATTTCAAAACAAACATGTAGCCAAAAACCAGTTTTGAAATAATTAAGAGTTTTCCCACGCTGACCTGATATTCACAGTGGAAAATTCCCACCTGCGCGCGCATCTTGTCTATAAACTATAAATCGCCTCTAACAGTTTTATTCGGGGCCTCTGAGTTCTCTCAGGGTGCCCAGCATGCTGAATAAATTTTGAGATTGACAGCGACTCTGTGTCTTTAGGAATAGCTCCGCAAGGGGTCACGAACTCCTCAACATGTTCAGCCTTTCTCCCACTCCTGAGTCTAAGTCTTGCCGTTATGGGTTTGGGTCATCTAATGGTGCTATACCCCCACCAAGGGCATGCATACAAGCCTGGGCTCCATCTGTGCAGCTAGGTAGTGATGGACACTTGTTCTCATGCACAGGTTTATGCACCCAGGAATAAAATACCAACTGGTGCATAAGTGGCATTTTTGGCACCTATTTCCCTACAGTTCCCTCTGTTCTATCCCATAATAATTTTTGTGCCTTTTTGACAATCCTCACCTTTCCTATATTACATCTCATACTCTGCTCTTCTCCACAGCAGTTTTCAATCTCTGCAATATCTCATTTAACAGATCAGAAGAGTTCTTGTCTTTAAGAAGCTCTGAAAGAGAATAGGGCTATTAAAATGTAACACTCACTGCACATGTATAGGCACCATGCAGACAACCACTTCTAGGTGCCCAGATACTCAGGAAAGGAAGAGAGTGTTCCCCTTGTCTCTCTGGATCTGCCATAGAACCCTTTGAATTCAGAAGAACCATTCCTGTCGGCTTTAGCGAGGGCTGTATTAATCACCTCTAGATCATGGAAAAGGTATCTAGATATATTGATATTGGATGTAGTGTCTCTCTCCCTCCCCCCATAGCAAATAGCAAGAACTATAGAAGGAGTGAAAAGTTCACTGCTATCACAGTGAACTTTTAGTGGCCGCTCTGTTTCTTATGTAACACCCACACATACACGTGGGTTGTATATGGGAGGTGGGGAGGTTGTGTATATTTTTTATTTTGGCAAGATGGCCCATGTGGTTTGGCCACGTGCTCAGCCCATGGCAAGCTGGGGCCTGTTTTTGGGGAAAATACACAAAACCCTCTGGCCTCATTGGCCAGGGGAAGCAGAGGATTCATCATGCCAATTGGTTGGGAGAGGAACTGGAGTGTGGCACTCCCTGACTGGACAAGGCCCGGGTGATGTCATTCAAAGGGATATAGGGTGAGCTAGGCTGTGCATAAAAGTGGCATTTTGCGGGGAGTGAAGTTTGGGGGGAGAGAAGCTGCTAGGGGCTGCTGAAGTGTGAAGTCTCCTCCAAGGGAGAAGGAGTTTGCAGACAGTGAAAAGGAAGCTCAGAGCGGAGAGAGAGGGAGAATTGTTCCAGCGTCTGGGAATGCCTCTCCTCCTTTTCTTCCCCTTTGTTCTTTTGAGGTTTTAAGGAACTAATACTGAGGAAAAAGAGTATTGGTTCTTTGGGTTTACTGGCCAGGAGTTCGGCCTGGCAGTTTAAACAGGGTTGAAACCTTGGAGTTTCTAATCCTCTCAGTTTGGGCCAGGGTTGAGGTTTGCAAGTTTCCGCTCCCAGTGGAGCCATGACCCAAACTACCTGCAGCCCAGGCCTAGAGGGTAGGCCTGGTCTTTCCCTTTGCTTTTTTGCTGGTCCTTTGCTCCAATCAAGCTATGTGGTTGGGTCAGCCAAAGCTTTTAATCAAGCTGGCTCCTTTTGGAGTTTTTTTCCTGCAGTTCCATTTTAGCAGGCCATATAATCCAGCCCAGAAGTTTCAGGGTCACGCCTGCTGTCTGGAGCTGCAGTCATTCCCCCCACGCACAGACAGCCTTTCTGTGGGAGAAAAGATTGGCATGCTACCACTCCTCCAAGAGCAATGAGAGGCCCCTTGCACTGCAGAAGGGCCCATGCTCTCTAGGAGCGTCCTCTGGCACGGCGCAGCGCAACATATAAACTATGTCTTGTAGTTAGTAATGTTTTAAATGGTATTTGGTGTTTTTCTCTGTTTTCTGTAACAAATTTGTCATTTGTATTGACACTGCTTGCAAGGAGAGCGCTTTTATGTGGGACACCCTAGTAATTCATTCAGTGTTTCCCAGGTGGTCTGGGTGGGGCTCAAGCCAAGGTAAAATATCTTTGTACCCCAAGACTGAACCCGGCCCTTGTTGCTGTCAACTGATGCCTGACAGAAGGGTTACACTACTATTCGGCTGTATTCCACAGTTCTGTCTAGATTCTTTTTTCAGAAATATTTTTGCTTATAAGCCAGAAGGTCATGGGTTCACTTCCCACACTGGGATACAAGCTCATATCAAGCGATGATACTGCAATGAAACACAGGACAGGATTTTAGATGAGAGTTTTAAACCAAGCTCCCTCTTGCATGTCTCTGGTGTCTTTCCAGGTAGCAAATAAAAATTATGGGCGCAGTGTTTAGCTGAGGCACAAAAAGACATCCAAAGAACTAGATCCATATACATCAGCTGAAGATCTGGCTCAGCCACTTTCTGATGAGAGAGAGAATTAACTGCAGTATCCTGTTCAACATGCCTTTTCAAACACGTTGCAATGTCTGTGTGTGTGCTCTTCCTCAAAACAGATTTAGTTTTCTACTTGCACCAATCTCTAAAAATCGAAGAAGTGCTTTTATAAGCTAGCTCAGTATACCTTAGGTATGAAAGGGGTTATGTTAAAACTAATATTCTCTTCTGTACTAAATCTGCAGAAGACGCCATTACTTGAGGCTGAATGTTCCGTATCTGGGTCCTGACCAATTATTTTTTCTCCCTTCTTCAGCACATTAAACCTAGAATTGGTTTCAGGGAAGCACTTGGATAGAAGAAGAAATATGTAATAAAAGATTATGGGGGTTAAAAGACCATTATTTGTACTAAGTCTCTGAGTTTCCACTACATATCACAAACAATAATAAACTAAACAAAGAAATGCCTGGAGGACAGGCTGCATAAATAGAACTGAGGTTAGCCATACTGCTGGGACTCTCTCTGCTAAGATGTACTTTCATTTTAAATGTTAAAAAAACTGATCCTGCTGCAGAGGTATTTATCCAAGGCAGGGATTTGTTACCTTTATATAATCACTCAGGATGGAATTCATCAGAATGTTCTATAGAGTTTTTGCAACCCCACCTCCAAAAAAAGGTTGTTTTAACAAATTAAGGCATTTTTTCAAAATAATATACAGTAATTACAACAGCAACATCATCTATACAGTAGCTGCCATGAAATGCAGTACTCACCTTCCAAATCTACAGTTGTCAAGCATGTTTTGGAAACCTGCAAGAAGATGTGGTAATATACAGAAATCCACCCGCAAGGAAAAGGGCATGCTAGTTAGAATAATAGCCCAGGGGAAGTTTCAAAAACTCTGAGGTCCTGATCCTGCCAGGTCATGATAAGTCAGGGGCAGTGTAACAGGGGGCCTGCTCCGGGCCAATCCAAACGTGGCCCGCCCACCTGTTCCTAGGCTAACTGCCTGCATTCTCACCCACCATGCCTTGTTGGTATAATTAATTAATGGATATTAATTAAGTGGGAGGCTGCCCATTTACTGTCCTGATACCAGGGGGCCCTTTCCTCCCCTACACCACAGCCCAAGCCTTGCAGATTGCATCTCGATGTTCCTTCAATCATCGGCCCCCCACAGTGGGCCCCAGAATCCTCTTATTGAACCCCACCTGGATTCCTCTTCCTCAGGAGGCCTCTTTCGCTGTCATACCAGGCAGCATAGCTCCCTGAGCTGATTCCCCTTCAGGTGTGGTCCCCCCACCAAGACCCTCAGCTCATCTAGCCCCAGCCCACCTCCAGGCCAGTTGGGACTCCAGGCCCTCAGCTCTTGGGCATCCCTCGCGGTGGGTCCCTGGCCCTTCGACCCTTCCGGTCCTGGCCCCAGCATAGGCCAGTTAGGGGAAACTCAGACAGGCCTGAGTCTATGGCTCTTTTCTCATTCTCTGAGGGTCCACCCTCTGGGCCCTCCAAAACCAGGGGTAACCTGGGTCATGGGGGCTAGGGGTTAAGACACCCCGACCCACCTTTCACCAGGGCGGTAACTGGGCATTTCCTGGGGGCTCCTGTGCCACTGAGAGCCCCACCAGGCTGCCCACTCCCGGCAGGGTGCAGTTTGAGGTCGTACCCAGGACCAGAAGCCTCCTATCCATCCCCTACAGCTCCTCCCTTACCTCCAGATGATATCCACAGCACTCCAGCCAGGCGATGTTGTTGCCTGACTCCTAGTAGCCAAACTGCCCTGTTTATATGGGCAGCCCCTGGTTCCAAAATGGCTACCCTTGTCAGGGACCTGGTGGCTGCCAGCTCCAGGCCCTTAAAGTGGCAGGCACACACAGTGCCCTGCCACAGGGGGGCAATTATTTTGGGCAGAGGGCTGCTTTACCGAGTGTTGGCAAGATGTCGAGGGCCACATGGGTAGCCCCACCCCTTGACAGGTGCCCCACCCCCTGGTTGCCATCTTGGGGCTGGAAGTCCTGCTCCTTAACCCCTAATTTTGCCAGCAGAAGCCCCTCCCCTTGCCCCTGGAAATACTCCTTTCAGCAAGGAGTTTTGCCATAAAATACCAGATTATATCCTAAAAAACGAACATCTACAATGCTTATTGATTTGAATTAAAAAAATATTTTTGTCCTGATTTACATGTGTTTGCATAGTACATAGAGGTGATCGCACAATAGCTTAAAATGAAGTCTTACTCTTGTAAACTGTGGGGGTGAGTATAGGTTTGGGGGGGCTGTGTGGGTATGTGGGTGAGGGTGTGGGTGGGGGACTGGATAGGTGTGTGGGAGTATGTGGATGTGTATGTATAAGTAGGGTGTGGGTGGGTATTGGGTTTGTTGGAGGATGTGTATGGGGGAAGTGTGGCTGGAATCTGTGAGGGGGTGTGGGTGTGGGGTTCTGTGTGTATGTCAGTGCAAGGTAGGTATGGGTACAAGTGTATGGTGGGGGGTGCTTGTGGGAGTCACCCTATGAACATACATACACTCTCCCTCTCTCATT